CTCTCTGAGGGCTTGTGTTTATGGCAAATCTTTCTCAAAACAGATCTGACATGATAAACTATTTTAGTAAGTCGGTTTGGCTTTCCAGGTTCAAATCAAAATGGGGTCATTAGAATTGTTAATAAATTAACTGTAATGATATTACTTAATTTTTTACAGTTGTTATTGTTCCTCCTTGCAGCTTATTTTAATATTTGCATATTTAAGATGCTTTCTTATTCTGCTTAATGAAGCAGCTTTTTCTCAGAAAATGATACTTTCACAAATGCTGATTTTATTTATATGGAGACTTTCCCCTATTATTCCAAAGAGTTATAAACCTCTTAATTTTATTTTTTTTATTACTGTTTTCTAGTTGGTCGAATTATGTTTCAGCTCTTCTCAGACATTTGTCCGAAGACTTGCAAAAACTTCCTTTGCTTGTGCTCAGGTAAATAACTTTGCTTATATTTCAAATTTTTATGGTGACTTGCAATTATTATTTGTTTATACAAGTATAAAACACAGCCACGGGCTTGTCTGAGGAGCTAAATAGCTGTATAATGGAGATCACTCAGCACCTAATTCAATGTATGTCAGGCTGGCAAAGCTCACCTGCCCAGGGGTTATCCCTTGCAATCCCTGGGTGACTCCTCCTCCACATCCCACTTCCAAGTGATTTGCAGCACATGGAAAGAGCTGCTTAGGCAGGAGGAGTTACAAGTAGATGGAGCTCAGAGATTTTGTCTCTTTCAAGCAAAAATCAAACACATTTAGGGCAAAAAAATTCAGAAAAGAAAAGCCCAACCCGTGAGCTTTGTGCTGGCTGTTGTGGAAAAGTGTCTGAGCTCGGGGAGGTGCTGCAGCTCCAACCGGTGGAAGAAACTGCTCTGTGTTTTCCCTGCCTGGGAAAGTTGTGGCAATGCTGTCAAGGAGGGTAAAAAATGAGATTAAAACTTCTAACCGTGGTCTAAAAGCTCACATCTCAGTGTCCTAGCTCGATTCCATGGTCAAGTGCCATGCAGGATCCCATTCTCCAAGGGGATTATCCACAGCCTGAGGGACGTGCTGGAACATGGCCAAAACTGGGGGCACAGATTCCTTGGGATTGATTGAGGTGGGGTTCCCAATGCTGTAGCAAAGAGGGGCATGTTTTGGGGTGAAAGGGGGTGTGTCCATGCCTGTAATAAATAGCTTTGCTTGCTTGACTCCTGTGGAAAATAAAACTGGGGTAGGAGGAGGCCTGGATGGTGGGTGAGGAAAAGAACTTGTATTTGAGGGAAGACTTCTGTAAGTCCCATAAACAGCAGTGCCCTGAATGGCTTTTGTGCCACAAACTGCTCTTTGCCCTCATCCTGGCAGGGATGGGCTGTTTGGAAGGGCAAACTTGGGATGTTTGAGCTGTCAGTTAATTTGGGGTGGAGGAATAATAGATTGTAAAGGGTGGGGTCGTCTCTGGGTAAGGAGTGTACCTGCATTTCTGAGGGCATGTGCTGGTTACATGTCCTCTGACTGCCTGTCAAATGCCTCTTTCATAACCAGTGGTGGTATGAAAGTGAATATTGGTTTATTTATCCTGTCTCCTTACAAAATAACTCCTGTACATGTGGTTTATATGGGATTTCAGCTGTTGCACAGGGCATAATGTATATATTCTTAATTGCCATGTTCTGCCAGCTCCCCTCTTCCCAAGAGCTAAAGTGTCTCTTGGCATTCCCTGAGTGGAGCAGTATAAATCCCTCATGAACCTACTACACCTCCCCATCCACATGCCCAGTGTGGTTTTCCTTCTGGATTTGGGAGGAAATGTTAATGCAACTTGAGGTTCTGGGATCACCTGCCTCACAAACCACCAGCACCCCTGACCTCCAGCTGGCATTGAGGGGTGGCCTGACACTGTGCATGGACTGGTGAAGATGTGACACATGCTTGGAGCAGCTCAATCCCACTTTTCCAAGTGTGGATCACATTGAAACCGAGCTGAAGCCTGTTCTGAGCTCACATTTCTCTCCTGGGAATCATCTGGCACATCCAGATGTGGAAGTGCTCTGAAGAGGACTCTGTGAGCTGCAGCTGAGTGCAGCTACAACCACAGAAAACAGTTACCCCATCATTATCCTGAACTCTTGTTTCCTTATAAATTATCTTGGGTGGATTAACATGCTCTTCCTTGGAAAGGGAGGACATTTTTTTAAGGAACAACTTAATTTTCACCTGAGAGTCCCTTTCTGCTATTTATGGATGGTGAAAAGGCAACAGGTAGGGCTGTGTTATCTTTCATAGCTTTGCTATTTGATGGCTCCCATATCCATGGGCACTGGGAAGGTAAAAACCATGGAATAATTTGTCCAGTGACAATCTGTAGATTCTTTCTGTTTAACCTCCTCTGCAGGTGAAAAAGGAATTGGCAAAACAACGGGAAAGAAGCTTTGCTACAAAGGCACCACATTCCATCGTGTGGTTAAAAACTTCATGATTCAGGGGGGGGACTTCAGCGAAGGTAAAACAGCACTTGGAAAACTGGGGAGTTTTTTAAAGGGAACAGAAACGTTGTAACTGATGTGGTTATAATGTGTAGAACCTCAGAAAATGCCATGAAAAGTATTGCAATGCCATAAAAATATTTCCTTAACTGTGAAGTGTAGCCCAGATCACCCATTTGGTAACTTCTGAAATTCGAAGATATTTCAGATGATGTAAGATTGGTTTATTGTGCCACTGGTTACTGTGCCATTTGACACATCAACTGATGTGTTAAATCCTTGCTGGAGGGTTTTATCATTTATTAAAACCATTCAAATCCAAACTGAAAGTGCTTTTACACTCTTGTGTCTGCAGCAGAGGCAACACTGATACAGGAACAAAACTGTTGGAATAAGTTTAACAATTAAGTAGTGAGCAAACTCTTAAGTGTTTAAAAGTATCTGAAGGAAGATTTTCCAGGAGTTTCTTTGTTTCCTTCCCTGCAGTCTATGTACAACAGGATGTTTTATCCTGTTGTCCTTCCCAGAAATCCCTCTCCTTACCAAAAATCTTTCTTTTTTGCTGTGTCCTGAAATCTTGTACCTGATCAAATGGTTGTGGAGGAGGAATATTCCTGTGTTGAGTAAAGTAGCAGTGCCTTGTAAAACACTGGTGGAATGTTATGTACAGCTTTTGTAGAAATGAAATAAAAGTTTTAACTGATGCTTTCTGATGTGTAGGTAATGGAAAAGGAGGTGAATCTATTTATGGTGGCTATTTCAAAGGTAAGAGGAAATATGTCTTTGCAGATTCTTTATTCAGTTCTGAGATAAACAAGTCTTGATTCCCAAACTACTTAATGAAAACAGGTCTACTCATAGATCACCTTTTGCATGAAACTAATGTTGCATGAGAATTCTTTTTTATATGCATGACTTTCAGATAATTTTTTTTTGTTAATATTTAACTTTAACTGACAATTAATTAAGGCTAACATTATTGGTTAAACATGACTTTCAGCATGGAGGTTAGGCAACTTTATTCATGAATAAACTCCTATCTTCCTGCCTAAAACTGTCAACATATTCTTTTGTTTATAGAGAATGTGGTCTTTTGCAAAATGAAAAGGTAAGAGACAAAAGCTCAGTAACACAAATTCAAACTCTGTTCCCTTGTACCCTCCCTAGTAAATATATAGACAACTGATACATCCCTTTGTAGATGGATATCTGTGTTGCTTGGAGAAATGAAGAGTTCTGTGTCTAACCTTTCTGAGGGTTAATGACTTATTCTGAGAGAGAATCCTGCCATAATTTCCAGCTCTAAACAGTTATTTCTTCTTTTTTTTTTTTTTTTAATGTCCCTTTTCCTCCCCTTCCCCTACTCAAGGTTTGTATGCTTAGTGTTCATTTCTAAAGTGTTGTTTACAAGCTACACGAGTTATTTTCTTTGCAAAGGATTTGTAAATAAATTAAATTTACCTCTTTTAAAAATCTGTAGGAAGGAAAATGGTGAGTTTATGAAGTATTTGTTTAAAAGACAGACAATTGTTTCTGAAAAAACAGGTGGCTACTGTGGTGTTCAAATATTAAGACACTGGATGTATTTGTTCTGTATGTGTTGCAAGTAGCTCTGCCTGGTTGTGCATGGAAGTTTCTCTTAAAAAAGAGACCTAGTTTGATGTTGGAGTATTAAAATCTTTAGTCAAGGGAAGTCTTTAATAGATCCATAAATTAAGAAGTTACTCAAGGTTTGTTTCTCAACATGGTGAGTGCTGAATATGCAGGATTGAGTTTTGATATATAATCTAAAAAGCTGCAGCTTTGTACACTCAAATTACTATTTTTACTTCTGAAAATGACCTTCAGAAGGTTTTATATTATTATGCTGTGCAACCAGAGCTCCTCTTTAATTCACTGGAATATAAAATGCATGTTTAGTTTAGTCTCAATTGGTTTTATACTTAGATTCAGATATTTAGGTGGGGTTTTTTTCCCTTGTATGTTTTGAACCTTCCAGTTTTGAAAGGATAGCTGGCATCTTTAAGTGCCATGCCAGGGAAATAAATAAATTGCTTTTTCTCCTGGTCTTTCCACCTGGAATATAAATAACAATATCATGTATGTTAAGTCTTGTTTTAGAATGTTAGTAATTCTGCCAACTTTGTTCTTATCCAAATAAGACTGGATTAAAATCCAAATCTGTGAGAATCTAATGTTAATCGAAGGCACTAATAACGACTTGAATTATTTTCATTAGAAATGTTTGCACTATATCTGAAACTTTTCTGCTTTGTCTCAACTTTAACTTTCAAGAGACTTATTTAAACTTGTTTTTTCCCCCCACCCTGTTCACGTTTCTCCAGCAGCAGCAGAATTTCTCCTCGTAGCATCCTTAAGTTACTAAATAAAAAAAACAAAACAAAAACCCGCCTGCCTTGTCAGGGGAAAAAAAAAATCTGACAAACATATTTTTTCTTCAAACAGATGAAAACTTTATTCTCAAACATGACAGAGCGTTCCTTTTGTCAATGGCAAACCGAGGGAAACATACCAATGGTTCCCAATTTTTCATGTGAGTAGATGTTGATCCCACAGTCGAGCTTTTCTTACCCAGAGAAGCGCCGTTCATGAGAAAGATGGTATTGCTAAAATTCTCTATATCCGTGTTCATCCACCTGAGTTTTAGCTGGGATGCAGGGGTAAAATGCACTAGGGTTAGAAGCTTGGATGTTCCTTGTTCATTGCTTTTTTTTTTTTTTTAATTTACCCTCAAAATAGGGCTGATTTCGTTCAGTTCTCGGCGTCCAGAAAATAAATTCTTTGCTTTTCTCTGCGCCCCAAATTGTATCAGATTATCTGCAAATTATGGTTGTATGCAAAGGGGAGTGAGATCTAAAGGTGATTTATACATGGTTTTGCATGTGCTCCTTAAAATGTGATGATTTATGATTTACTTTGGGGGGATTGTTTTAGTTTTGTTTGTTTGGTTCTTTTGTTTGTTTGGTTTTTTTCAGGAGGAGAATGAGTTAGGCTTTTATTTATTGGGGTTTTTTGTTTGCTTATCATTATTCTTATTATTAATTTTTGTGTTTTGTTTCTGACATGCTTTTTTAATATATGCCTGCATAATTGTGTTTACTTGTGCTTATACCAATACTCTAGTACCAACACTATGTAAAATTATGTGCTGATAATCAGATTTTTTCTTCACTGCTTAAAAAAAACCTTTCCATTCTAGTAGCCACATTCTGCTCAAATTGTAGAAAACACATGACTACTTTCAGTAAATACTCAGGTCTGATAATTGAGGGTTTTCTGGTTAAAGCAGCTGTATTTTAGGTTCATTATCAGTATTTTTAAGCTTGCTAATTTTCCTGTGATTATTCCTCCCTCTTAGAAACTGCCTCATGTTAATGTTTAACACTTTGTATTTGGAAAGAGCAACTTTATAACTTCAGTCTTGTGCTGAGAAGTACTTTGTGAAACAACCCTGGGGTTTTCAAAAGCAAAGTTTAGAGTAGTTACTTCACTAGAAAAACTCTTTTTTTTTTTTTTTCCTCTTTGCCATCTTTCTTGGGGGAGAGGAATGAATGGCGCTTCCCTGTCTGCAGGAAAGGAGTAAATTGTCCTCGAGAATCTTTCTTTTTATTTTTCTTTGCCTGAAAAAGATCTTCAGTATGATCTGATGGAGTTCAGATAAGAGACATTTTTAGGCCTCTTCCTAAAAAAAAAATGTCCCAAAAATGGAAAATGCACAAGGAACCTTAAGAGAGAGTCTTTCACAATTCAGGCATTCCATAATGATAAAGTTGCTTCAAAACTTGGTTTCTGTTACCTTCAAAGGAAATTGTAGATGCTGTGCTTCCTTACATATAAATCTGAATACATCTGTGTGCTCATTAATATGGAAAACAGTCTGTATAAACAATACCCTGAATATAAATATATGTATTATATAAATAAGCTCTCTGAAGGCATTGCTTCACTATTTACTACGTGGTGACTTCCTTTGGGTTCCCTTGCCATGATTTTCCATTTTTAAGCTTATCTGAACAATACATGAAAACCTAATGATGTCACATGAGTCAAGCAGCTGTCATTTGAGGGCTCTAAAGTTTCTTTTCTCTCCTGCATTTAATTCCAAAGTCATCTTTTTCCCCTTAGGCTTTAGTAGACTCAGCTGGTTTGATTAGGTTTGAACACCTCTGTCTCTCCCCACACAGGTTGTGTTGGATGCTAAATTATAACTTGGACAGGACAATAAACCGAATTTAAGAGCACTTTCCCCAAATAGAGAAGTATTTTGAAAGATACAGACTTCTTAAAAAAAAAATAAATCTGATTTTTCCTGAAATCAGCGTGAAGAGAGAGTGTTAGTTTGGGAATTCAGAGAAAGAGATTTAAACACAGTTATCTCTGTGGAAGGTGGGTTCCCCTCAGCTGCCTGTAGGAATCCAGAGCTGGTTTTAGGCTCTTGGGGTGTCCTACCAGCTTTCAACTGCTGGGAGGGATGGATGTGGATGTTCTGATTGCCTTCCTGCCCCAAGCAGACTTCCTGGATATCCTGGGATGTCTTAAATGACACTCCAGTGCCCTGGAGTCAGGGAAGTGAGTCAGGATTCCAAGTGGGAAACAACTGCTGCAGGTTTTCTCTGGGTAGTTTCTGCCTGAACTTTAAAATGCAGTTTATTAAAGCAGTTACTCTTGCTTGGTAGCATTTGTCTGATGCCCTCAGGGATTGTACTGTGCATCCATACAGCTTTGCTTTAGTAAAATATTCGCTTCCTTTAGTGATTTGCTTCAAGCTGAAATTAAAATGTGCTTTTTATACTCCAAGTAATGCTCAGTTTCTCTGTAGTTTACCATTAGAAAAATTTTGTTCTTCAAATGTATAACCTGAAAAGTGTGTGAAAGGCAGTCCCTAGATTTTTTTTTAATGTTTGAATGTTTAATTTTATTGATTAAATCTGTAGGAAGGGAAGTAGCTCATCCCCTTCTGAACTTCTTTAGATTTTTGCATTTATTTTCATAAATACAAGGACTGAGAACTCTTGTTTACTGTGCACATCTAATGTAACAGAGAAGGAGTGCAAAGAAGTGATTTTCTTTTATATATCTGTCCAAGTAGGGCTGAAATAATGGCAAGAATCCTGACTAAAACAGTTTTCCTTATTCATCAGGAATGCTTTCCCTGCTTACCAGTGAAAAGTGTCACTTGGAATAACGAGGCCTTACAGGAATTAATCAGGCAGCAAATCTCTTTGGCAGGTTGCACTGACAAACCAGTCACAACAGGACTCTGCAATGCCTAAAAATCATTAAAAGTTGATTTAAAGTGGTCAGTTTTACCCGAAATAGAAGCTCCAGACTCATCTTAATGTAAACAGGCATCTGACTCATCCTAAAATATCCTCAGCTTTCTTTGACTGGCAGGAATTTCTCTGACATGACTGAACCTGAAGAATTTCTAAGCAACAATAGAGAGCTGGGCATGGAAGAGGCAGTGGAAGTGTTGCTGGGAAGCTCCAGGGAGGGCAGGGTGAAAGGAATGACCTTAAATTAAAGCACTGGTGCAAACTGGCAAGGTGCAGGGGTAGAATGAGGAGTCAGAAGTGTGTCTGTGCAATGTCAGAGGTGCTGTGTTTAGTGCTGGGGCACTGGTTTCCCCCACTTTTTTTCCTGACTGGAATAAGAGCAGGAGTTGGGTGGAAAGGAGGATGTTTGGCTGAGGAAGGATCATGTGTTTCATGCAGATATATTTGAAATAGGCCAAGTCTGTTCACATGTTCCTGAGAAACATTTCCTGCTCTGAAGGAACACGTTGTGAGAGAGACCATTCAGGTGAAATACAGGAATTTCAGTTCCCTTTTCCCAAGGGGATCTGTTGTAGCAGTTTATTCCAGGCTTGTGTTGAAGACAGTTGTAAGGCACCAGGCTATAAATCAGCTGTTTATATGTTCAGAGAGCAGCACTCTCTGATTCTTTTCTGGGAATAACTTCCTTTAGAACCCTTGGGTATTTTGCAGGTGTTCTAAACACCATCTGGGTGTGTTAATCTTGACCTGTCCTGTTTCCACGTGGATATTCAGGTATGGAATCCCTAGGATGGGGCAGAGGTTGGCAGGAACCCCTCTAGAATCATCTTTCTTGTTCTAGATCTCCAATACCTGCTTTGAATTGCTGCTGATAACATAATATTAATAGTAATTATTGGGGGAGCACATCCAGAGCACTGCACAGATACAACTGATGTCTTTAGGCCCCTGATTTAGAGTCCAGGGGGGGATACTTGGTCTGGTCTTGGATATTCCAGGCTGTTTTCCTGTGGGGAATGTTCCTCTGGAGCCACATCCTCTGCTTCTCACTCGAGCTGATCTGATCTCTTGTCTCTCTGGAGCAGCTCCATTGTGCATTTGACAATTCCCAACCTACCAGGAAGGAAAGTCACCACTAAAATAAGTGCAACTCTTGTGAAAATGAGTGTCTTAAGTTCTTAAAAAAAAAAATTAATGACACTCTTGATCCTCCAAGTGCTCACCTGGGCTTAACTCTGCTTCCATGGTCATCCAAAAGCTGACAAGCTACACTTAGTAGAAAATGAGAAGTGCCTGTGCAGAATGAACAATAAAGAAACAACAGGAAGCAAAACAAAATAACCAACCTCTTTGTTTTATTTTCCCTGGGAAGTTGTGTGTAATAATTAATTTATTGCCTAGGTATTTAGCTCTGTAGCTTGCTGAAGAATACATCCCTATTGCAGCTTTGAGAGGAGTCTGGACTGTGTTCCTTATCAGCCCAAATTCTTGCCTCTGTGTTCAAAAGCTATTTAAAACTTGAGCCTGATTTCCTATTACTGCCAGGTTTTTATTTTTTTTTTCCATGTTAAGGGTGTTGTTGGCTTTAATGTGTCTCTCAAGCTCTGCTTGCTTGCTCAGAACTAAATAGCTATTTTTTTGTTTTAAAAATGTTTAAATGCGTGGTGCCATGCCTAGTTGCTAAATTCAAACAAACTAACCACTTTGATCTGCTAAATGAAGGATAAAATAAGTTGTGAGGACTCTTTTGTTTTGATTTTACAAATTATTTCTGAATATTACCAGCTCGTTAAAAGCAGTTCATGTCTTTTTGGTGTCCCAAAACAGGTATTTTTCTAATCAACAGTTAATAATTTCTTTTTTTTTTTTCTTTTTTACTGTGAATGAAATACCTTTTGAGCTAACTATTGAACAGTTTATTCATGTAAAACCCCAAAAATGTCAAATGAGAGGGGCTGATGTTGCATTATCTTTGAGCAATAGTGGTTCATGTGCACTTATCACACCAGCAGGTCCCATTGACTTGAGGAAAAGTTGATGTAAAAACATTCCCAGGATGCTTTTATGTGCAATAAGTAACAAAATAAGTAACAAAAAGATCATTCCAGTGCTCGAATAAGTAGAGGCATAATTAATATTTTTTGGGGAGGGGGAGGAGGATGTGGCTAAACTCAACTGATAATGCATTTTTAAACCATTGCTGCTGCTCAGAATTAGACCAGACCCTAAAGCTCAGTATTAACTGGTGCAGGTGTTTTGGCTTTTTTCCCCCTCTGCAGTGGGTCTGTTGTTGTGGAACTCTGGACAGGAGCAATCAATGAAAAAGGAAACACTTATTTTTCTTAGTTCTAGAAAAGCTTCATAGAGCAAGGGAGCTGTCAGCCAAGTCTGAAATGTCTGAAGTTGTCCCCTTGCAGACTTTACACCTTTGATTTGGGAAGCCAAACACTTAAGCTCTGCTGTGCCTGTGAAATTCCTCCTTAGGAGGGGGTTCAGTGGAGCATTTGGACCCCTGGGAAACTGCAAAGGTGGGAATAAACCCACAGAAATGGAATATTCACCTACCTCAAGTTGGGCATTGCTGGGTTGAGACTTAGAGGGGAGTGGGAGGATTCTCTTTCCTGACTGGTTTTGCAATAGTGTGACAAGCAGGGTTTGTCTGTAGTTTTCTTTTTGCTTTTTAAGGAGAACTTTTAGTTTTCAAAATACCTTGTATTCTCAAGAAAATTTAGAGCCCTCTTTTAGGCATCCTTGTTCTGCATACAACTTGATTAATATGAATTTTAACCTTGTATTTGATAAAACATAGACACAGTTTTGTCTGAAAATGTATTACAATTTATTTCTGCCATTTTTGTGTAAAATTTACAGAAACAGTGTTACATCGTGCGCTCCAAAGGTAATGTCTCATTCCTCTAAGGCTGTGTCCTTTCCTTTTCTTTCTGTTTTTATCTTTTCTTGTTTTTCTGATCATATTGTTATGTGCATTGAACCCTTTGTTAGGCCTGAAGTTCTCGGGGGGGGTGGTGGGGTGGGTGATAAAATGCTTTTATCAAAAAAAAAGATGATTTTCTCCTCAGCGGTATCTTAGACCCATTTAAACCTGAGTGAAGAAAGGTATTGATCCTACTGTACATAACTTGGATAATTGTATCTGTTATAAAGCAAATGTTGAATGTTTTCAATTATAGAAATTCTGTATAGAAATGTTCTAATAAATATCATTTTGGGGGAGGAACTCACCATGACTTCAGGTTTCCGTAGTGCAAAGGCAGGGGGTGGGTTTTGCTCCTGAGGAAGTTTGAAGGTTCAAGGGTTGATGCAGATAACTTTTTAAAATGCTCTTTTAAAGGGCACATTCACAGAATAAATGTCCTGTTCCAGCCCCAACACTGAGGTGAGAAAACATTCAAAAGCACAGCAAGGATTTGGGGATCTGCTTCCTGTGGGAAGTTGTTCAGTCTCCCAACTCCTTGTCATGCATCTAAAAGGTTTTCCCTTGGGATAACGCTTTTCCTTGTGCTTTCACTCCATGAAAGGAGAGAGAAGCCATGTCCATTTTCTCTCTCAAATTGCCAGTTTAATGGGAGAAACCTCTGCATGGGTTTTAAGCACCAACTGTCCCTTTCTTTGCTCAGTAAGGCCTAGTCTAAAGTAAGTTCCTTACTTAATTGGTCTCAAATTCTGCTACAGCCTCCACAGCCCCTCTGTTTGAACCTGCTGCCTTTCCCAGCTAATTCCAAACACTAAATCTTCCATACCATTGGTTTCATGGAAGGAACCCACTTCTTTTTTTCACTCCTTTAAATCAGCTTTATAATTAAACCCACTTAAAGTGTTTACTTAACAGCAGGTTGTTAACACAGTTAACTATTGCTTAAAGAAATTCCAAAGCTGCAAGGATTTTTCTCCTTGTAGGAATACCCCTTATTAGCAAGGGAACACCAAAGAACACCCCCTAACTATTGAGAAATTTAATAGTGTCTTAATAGCATTTATTCCCCTGTGTTAAACCAAAGAAGTTTTCTGTTTTATTTAGCATTACAGAAGTGGAAGGTCTTGGCATTTGGAGCTTAAAAACAAATCAGGAGTGTAAACACTCCTGATCCACAGTTCCATCTTTTGGGATGTGTTCCAGCACTGCAGTGTTTTGTGACCTAATAGCTCAAAACTCCAGGGAAGATACGTGGTTAAGAAGCAGTATTTTATTAGAGCACTGAAAAACTGACTTCATCCTGCCCAATCTGTGCCACTGTAAATTTAGAAAAAGCATCTGTGATTGATTTTTTTATTTGGAGAGAGGGGAGCTCATTGGAGGAAGGTTTGAAAAGCAAAATAATACTTGGGAGGAGAGAGAGGAAAGATGTTTTCATATATTAAAGTAACTTCAACTGCAAATGATCTGGACTACTTTATTTCTCCCCCAGTATTTGAGCAGGTTCTGATGTTTGTCTGGATAGGAGGGTTCCCTGTGCAGCAGGAGCTCAGGCTCACTTGGAAAAGTAACTTTATTTTGGGTTTGAAATAGGACAGAGACCCCAGGTCGTAGAATCAAACAGATTGGTACAAAATGCAGTTGCATTTCCCATTCAGGCTGAATGGAGGATCTGGAAAATAGGGAGGAAGTCTGGATTTAACTGTAGGGTGGCACATAATGTCCTGCTGTGGGTTTTTGGGAGTTCAGGAGCTGAAGTGTTGGCTGATTTAAGGCAGAACTGTTGCTTTGTGTTCCTGAGGCCGAGCAGGTACATGGAGAGGGAGAAGGAAGTGGGGGAGGGAGGTGAAGCAGAGAATCTCTCACATATCATAGCTCTTCTTTTTTAAAATACATGACTTTAAAGTGACTTTGTCATCTAAGAAGTTAATAATAACCTCAGAACCATTTCAATTCCACTAGTTACCCGTTATTTGTTGCCAAATTGTATCTTCTCTGTGATTACAAATTGTAGAGTTATATTAAATGAGTATTTAAAGATACATCTTTGAAAATTGTTTACTGCATGCATAAAAGGATACTTGGTACAACTTTCAAGTATGCACAGTTAGTTAAACCTCAAACAGATTTCATGTAAAAGCTTAAAAAAGCCTGTTTGTACAATCTGTAGTTTTAATAATTTTAATTCGTTGAATTCCATGTATGTAACTGGATTTTTTCACTATTTTTTTGTCTTACCTTCACCTCTTTTTTTTTTTTCCCCTGTGTCATTCTCCTCTTTCACTTCATCTGAATCCCTGATTTTATTTTATTTTACCATCTTCCCATCTTGCTGTTTGTCAAACAGAACAACAAAACCTGCTCCTCATCTCGATGGGTAAGAATCCTTTCCAGTTTCTTTTCTCCAGTGGTGGCTAAAGTTTGAAGGGTTTAAGCCTTCACATGTTACATTGAAAGTAGACAACAATGGGCAAACAAATTCTTAATTCTGGGAAAGATTATACAATAGAACAAGCTGGGAAACAAAAGTTTGAATTCCATCAAAATTTCAAGTTGCAGCTTATTTCCTAAAGCTGGACAAAAACTTGGATTGCCTTAAATCCTAACATTATGTCTTTAAAAACTTGTTGCTGCCCTCAACCCATAAATCAATGAGTTGAATTGTCAAGTTTAATATCTTTGAATAGTCCTTTGAATCCCTTTTTTGAGGCGTGTTTTCATCCCCAAAATTTATGGGGCAAGTAAAAGAAGGAAAGAGAAATTGTGGTGCCGTAGAACAAAACTGAGGATTCCTGAATTATAACTGTCCCTGCAATGCCAGTGGGGAATTTGTATTCTGAGCTTGGAGAGACCTATAAATTGTTCTTCTCTGGAGAAAACTGCCCTTTTGTCATGTTTATATATGGACTCTTGATGTCTGTTGCCCAAAATTGCTAAAATGGAAGGGTGGATGGGGGATTATGGTCTGTTCGCCCTGTGAGTAGACTGACATCAAGTATTTCCCTCAGATTGGAGCAGAGTGGATCTCTGGTTTATGCTGCATGTAATCTTAGCATTTAAATTAAAGTAACTTAAAATAAAATCTTATTTTTAATACATTAAGAGCTGAATGTTTCTATTTCACACCAATTTTTTTTTGTACTGAAATCAGTTGAAAAATAATCATTTAACCCTGAAATCCACTGGAAAAATAACGACGAGCCATTTCTAAATGGGTTGTACCTTAAATGTTTTCTTTCTGCAGCGTCCATGTTGTCTTTGGACTGGTTATTTCTGGTTTTGAAGTCATAGAACAGATAGAAAACCTCAAAACTGACACTGCAAGTCGACCCTACGCAGACGTTCGGGTCATCGACTGCGGGGTGCTCGTGACCAGATCAGCCAAGGATGGTGAGCACAGAATTCCCAAACTTAAGGGATCTTCCCATTGCTCTCAGGGAAGATAAAAACTATTCCAACATCTAAAAATCACTGTGGTAAATCTCTAATCTCAATCAATTCTTACGAGCCTCCAAGACTTCAGTCTTGGTGTGGGTGAGGAAGGCACAGTGAAGGGAAAAAAGGTTTTCTGACCTAAGATTTGTCCCTTGCAAAATGTGCTCCTGCTTCCTGCTCTCTGTAATTCATGTTGGAGATTCATGTGGCAAACTCACAATTAAGAGTTATTTTTCTGAATTTGAAAGAGGGAGGCACAAACATGCTTCTCTTGAAGTTGGATTTTGTGCACTTTGCAAAGGTTTATTTTAAGATCATGTAACATTAATATAAGCAGTATATGGAGTGAACATACTCTGCCTTTTTATAAGTATTCATGGAATATAAATTCCCTTAAATATATGTTTGGACAGTTGCTGTGAAACAGTGGAGTGTTACAAGTTTGCATTTTCTACTTAATTTTTGACTTTCCTTGAGTGTAATGTTGTTATTTATGTCCTTTAGAGAAAATCAAGAGGATGGATTGTGTAAAGGTGTGAGGATGCAGAAAGGAGAGAATGACAGAGTTTTAGAAATAAAAAATATACAGCAACTAAGGCTGCAACTAATTTGTTCTTAAACTTTGTTTTGCAACCTGTGCATTGTTTTTAAAGAAACTATTTTTTTTTTCTTTTTTTACTACAAATGATCTTTGCTTATCTGTGTACTCTGTCTTTGCTGGAAATTATTTGTGTGTCCCAATATGGATTTAGGCTGGACACAATTAGATGTATTTTCATAGTGATTCTTTAATGTAACTCATTGTGAAAAAGGTCACAAAGCTCCTCTGAATCAACATTTATATATATATATTTATATATATAAAATGGTCTGGTTTATGCTGTGTAAATCCATATACACAGTGTAAATTTAAAATATCTTTTAAGCTTTGGAGAAGAAGAAGAAAGTCTGTTCTGACTCCGAAGGCTCCGAGTCCTCCTCCAGTGCATCCAGCTCTTCAGAATCCTCATCTGAAAGTGAAGCTGAAAATGAAAGGAGCAGAAGGAGAAAGAGGAAGAGAAGAACTAAAACCAAACAGTCCAGAAAACGAAGGAAGGAGGAGAGGAGGAAAGAGGATCCAAGGTGCAAGCGAAGCTCAAACCAAAGACGGTGACTAGTCCCTTAAACTTAAGAATTTGGGAGAAATATGAGAAGTTCTCCTGTGGTTTCAAGCAGTGAATATGAAAATGCTTTTATTTAAGTTTGCATTTTGATGCTTGATTTTATAAGTTCAAGTGAGACTTCAGGCAAATTAATAGGATTTTGATATATATTTGATGATATTCGAAAATATTTCAAGGTAAGTTGTAAATTAAAAGTACAGCTGTGTTAAAGGGAGACTTCAGGCAAATAATAGGATTTTGATATATATTTGATTATATTCAAAAATGTTTCATGGCAAGTTGTAAATTAAAAGCAAAATCATTTGCTGCAAAGCAAGGACTGAACCTTCTCCCCAGTAATAAAGGAGCATCCTTCCTTTAGCCTGAAATGGGTTGTTAAACCATCTTTAGGTTTGGGGTGGGCTTGGCTTGGAATTCACTTGCAGTGAATATGAAAATGCTTTTATTTAAGTTTGCATTTTGATGCTTGATTTTATAAACAAACTATAAACTAATCAACCAAACAAGCAAAAAAACCCTAAAGCTGAGCTGGTTGAGTAGAACTTTCCAGGAAAGAATTCAAGATCTTTGTAGGCAGAAGCTACAGCAACATGGAAATGAGGAGATCTCAACTTGTGACAGTATTTGGGGCTCAGTACAGCTGTTCAAGTGAGACTTCAGGCAAATTAATAGGATTTTGATATATATTTGATGATATTCAAAAATATTTCATGGGAAGTTATAAATTAAAAGCAAAATTATTTGCTGCAAAGCAGGGACTGAACCTTCTCCCCAGTAATAAAGGGGCATCATTCCTTTAGCCTGAAATGGGCTGTTAAACACAGTTGGGTTGTTAAACCATCTTTAGGTTTGCTGCATCAGGTGGGCTTATCTTGGAATTCTCTTGGGAAAGAGGTGTTTTCCCAGCTGGCAGCTGACTGTGCTTTTCCCTGTAGCAGCCTTTCTGACAAGAGTGATGTCCCAGACAGAGTGGACGTGAGCACAAAGAGGGACAAGCCCGTGGTACGTCCTGAAGAAATCCCCCCAGTGCCTGAAAATAGATTTTTGCTCAGAAGAGATGTGCCTGTTGTCAATGTAGAGCCTGAACCGTAAGGAACTCTGAGCTTTTTATTCTGCCTTGCTGAAAACTGTGCATGAAATATGAAATATTCCTGTTAACATCCCTGTTCCTCAG